CCCATGTTCGTCTATGAACTTTATCACAAAGTTTTGCACTGCTGCCTTGGGGACCCACTATTCTGTCTAGACACTATTAAAAATCACTGTTAGATGTTTGCTTGCATTTTTTCCTAACCCCTCTTTTATATTACAAGGGGATAGCAAAAATGTTTTGAGATAAGTTCAGGAGCACTGTGGAATTCTTTCATTTTTTCCCCTGTAAATTATTAAACCATTTCCTTCCCCTCTCTCCTCACACCACCCACCTACACTGCTGCTACGTCTCCTCTCTCACTTTCTCCTCCTCTGTACTGCCACCCCCACACCGCTGCTTTTCCTTGCCAGAAGCCAGGAGAGGCGTTACTTGCTTTGTCCTCTGTGCAGGTCACTGGCTGTGTGCCAGACAGAGCCCATGCCAATAAAAGCCATGAGTAATGGCCTAAAACTTCTACATTCGCTGTGTTTCCCATTATTTCCCATGGCCAATAAATTTGAAGGAGGGCTTAATCAGAGGGAAAAGCTGGAACATAGGGCTCATGTCCAGTAGGGTGTCCAACACAAAGATTCTTACAGTTTAATCAGAGATAAAAGTTGAGGTGGCAGCCACCAATATGGTTTCCCTTGTGACCCACTTTGTCTTCTGACAGGTGGAGCCATTATTGTTTGGGCAGACAAACACACTTGTGCAGTTTATCAGGAAACAATGGCTGCCTCTGGGATGAGGTTGACTCTAAATAAATTACTTTAAGAACCTAATAGACAGATAATTGAATAAACATTTCATAGTCCATGAATTAGCCAGTGACAAATCCAAGTTTCACAATAGAACTGGATAGTCCAACATGTCTGTCAGGATTTTATACAACGCGATACCGAGAGTGGGAATGTTTTTCTTGTGACTACCTGGTGTCTGTATTTTAGCAAATATTTGATCAATTTAGAGGACTGCCATAGCCGGGAAAAAACTGACTTTCTTCCATAGAGTGCACAGGGGAGAACCATTTTGTTTTAATGTAGTTAGGATATTACTGTACGCTGTACAGATTTTGTACTTTTTAAACTTTATTAAGGATCAGAAAGTTTTTGTAATCCAATCAAATCTTCTCCTCACTCGTTTTAGGGAGTGCTTATTTTCGTACCATCTGATACATCTTATGAGGTTTTAATGTATCTTATTATTGTGTAACAAACTGATTATTCAAAATTGTGTTATCAATTCTAATTATCAATTAGGTATAGTAAATTACAAAGATGAGTAAAAGTTGACCAACAAAAAGATATTAGTTAAGGACTGTGAAGAATGCAAAAAACATTAATAACATGTATGATTGTACTGAAACATTAAACCACTAAGCCACTTGGGGGCAGCAGAAACA